TGCAGTTGTGGAAAGCTGGACACCACAGCAGGGCAGGAGTGGGCAAATCTTTTTTCCATGGGGCCACAGGAGAAACAGAAAATAATGTTGAGGCCAAAATGCTAAACTACTCAATTCTGCATCATATTAAGTGTATTTCTTTATAAAGTAAAAGTAAATATCATTGTTCTAAAACACTGCTCAGACTGGGAAGAGTTTATGTGGTGACTAAACAATGAAAAAATGAGGCTACTGAACAAAATATGTCATTTGAAAAACCCTCTAAACCAGGAGTGTCAAACTCATTTTGTTCCGGGGGTCGTATCCAACCGACTTTGATCCCAAAGGGGCCGGATCAGAAAACTCATGCCATATAAACCCCAAAAATAACAATAAGTTCAAATATTTGTGCAGAGAAACACAAATCTATTACAGAAATATTTTTTAATTGATGAACTCTTTCTTTTACAAAATATTATAACATTATGAACAACCTGAAACTTTAAGAAAAATGCAACACAATGTTTTAACATCAACTTGTTTGCAAACAGGAATAAGTCAATTTTTCTTGGAAAATCCTGCACTTGGCTACACTCTTCTCTTGTTGGACATTTTTCTGATGAGGGTGTCACGGTCAACAGTCAAAACGATCGTCCTTTAAGAGCGTTTGGAAAGAGACAAGTCTTTATTTGTGCTGCTCTGGTGGGAGGGGCCACGTACAGAGACGCTGGAGACACTGCTGTGATAAACACCACAGAAAATTAACAAGATTTTAATAAAAAATATAGTTAAAATATTTTAGTAGAAAATCAGCCGAGGGCCAGATTAAAGGTCTTGGAGGGCCAGATCCGGCCCCCGGGCCGTAGGTTTGACACCCCTGCGCTAAAATAAAAGCAATGCAGCTTTAGTCCAGGCATGAGGTCAAATAATAAAATGATGGTTATTTTGTAATTTCAAGTGAGCTGAAACAGGCCGGTCAGAGTCAACGACAGGGCCGTGTGTGGCCCCAGAGCTGCACAATGTCCAGGTCTGTACTAGGGGGAGTAACTCCTACATGAATCACCGATTAAAACAATACTGGAGACTGAAGTACAATACAGCACAGTAAGTACAGTACAGTATAGTACAGTACAGTACAGTACAGTACAGTACAGTACAGTACAGTACAGTACAGTACAGTACAGTACAGTACAGTACAGTACAGTACAGTACAGTACAGTACAGTAAGTACAGTACAGTACAGTACAGTACAGTGTGTACTGATGATGGTGAAAATGGGGGGGAGAGTGGAGCAAAGATGTGTTGAATACAGGAGAATAGAGATTACTCAAACATCCATGAATCATTCTAAATACAGTTTCAAAAGAGAAGAATAAATGATAACCTGGTTAAAACTCTGAAAAGTCCATTTGCAGAACATCTCTCTGTTTAGACACATGTTGTTCCATGCAGCTTACACTCACTCCACTGGTCACTCCTGAAGCTCAGATTCCACTTCCACATTTGATTTTATTTTTAGAGACAGAGAGTCATTTACACTGGGCCTGAAGCACAAAGTGCACTGTTTGACAGGATCTACTGGTGTTTCTATGGCAACTGTCTGACATGTGCTCCAGGAAATATTACAACAATACAAAGCATGAAAAGCATCATCGTTTGCATAACTTTCAGATCAACTGAGAAATGAGACACGTACATCATAGAGTCTTCTGCTACACACACTTTTACTGCTACTACTGCAGCTACTACTGCTGCTACTACTACTACTGCTACTACTGCTACTACTGCTACTGCTGCTACTACTGCTACTACTACTGCTACTGCTACTACTACTACTACTACTGCTACTACTACTGCTACTGCTACTTCTACTGCTACTGCTACTACTACTGCTACTGCTGCTGCTGCTGCTAAAGAACAAATAAACACCCAAAACTTCTCCCACAAACACAATTCAGAGAGAGACCTACAGAGTCTACAGCTATAAGAACAGTGTGATTGGTCTAACCACATTTCAAATTCCAGGGGCCTCATTTATAAATCTCGCTTACGCAAAAACCCGTGCGTACGCGCTCTCTACGCCAACCGCGGTATTTATGAAACTCGCCTGAGGCGTGGCTCTTTGCTTAACTCCACGCCAACTCGGGACCTCCTGTAAGTTCTACGCAAAGTCTGGGACACGGGGAAAAAGCGACACTCGTGGAGAGAAGCAGAAGTGAACAGAGTTTGAGGAAGTGTTTGATCAGAAAATCCACATATACAGAAGAAATACCTTCAGATTTGCGCATTTAAGTGTTTGATTCGCCAAAACACGGAGAAGGGCTGTTTATTCCACTCATTATTCTCCACAATATTATACATTTGACATTCGTGCACGAGCGCGGCCACGTTCTCGGACACGGTGAAGTGCAGAGTCCCACAGTCCACACCGCGACCATAGACTTCTATAGAACACAGACTGTGACCAACACAGAGGACGAAATAATGACCCGACCTGAGAGAAAAACTCTTCCCTTGGACGCAGCAGGAGCCAGGCTTTGATTTAATGAACGCAACTTTAACACTTTTACTTTAGTCTTTACGCACCGAGCGCCAGAGTGACACGAGTCTGCGGACAACACGAAGCCTACTGCCCGAACCTGACCCCAACCAAAATCTGCCCTACATTTTTGTGTAATGGGGAACTGAGCACATGAGAGCTGCTCTCTGACTGCATGAAGAACAGAATAATGCCTGTGCCCGTCCCGACCCAGACCCACACTCACAGACCCAGACCCACACTCACAGACAGACCCACACTCACAGACCCAGACCCACACAGACTCACACAGACCCAGACCCACACTCACAGACTCACAGACCCAGACCCACACTCACAGACCCAGACCCACACTCACAGACCCAGACCCACACTCACAGACCCAGACCCACACTCACAGGTTCAGCAAGTGGACTTTAATTGGCAGAATAACATCTGTATCTGATGTGTTTCATGCTAAATCTGTGTCCTCGTGTCCTCGTGTCCCTCCCTCGCTCCTTTCCCTCTCCAGGGGAGGGCATCTGAATCTCTCACACGCGCTCATAATTTGACCATTCAGATCAGCGCGTGCACGTATCTACGTGCATATGCATAAATATACAGGGCCAGTCCACACACACTTCATAGACAGACTTAAAAATATAGCGATAAAACTCTTGAAACAGAAAAAAACACATGGGCTTTACTGCAAATATGTGCTGCCTAAATGTTATGAAATATGATTAAATGAACAGATGAGTCGTTGTTGTCACTTTTAGTTTTGTATTTATTTATTAAACCTTGTTTAATAAAGTCTTTAATAAAGTCTTTGTCGTGATCACGTGGTGCTGCGTGGAGCGTCCTCCTCCCTCTGTCCCGCGTGTCTCGCTCAAACCCACTGATTATCGGCTCATGTTTAGGGAAATCTCATTCACCAGTCACTTTACATGCTCCTTTTATGGTGAGGTGGAGGTGTGGACAGGGCGTAACGTGACGTGGGTTTACGTGCGCAAATTGTAGTTGCAGGTGGGATTTATAAAGCAAAGATTGCGTGGTTTGGTGCGTGCAGTGGGTTTTCTAAATATGGAGTTCGCGTGGCACACGCCTCTCGTAGCTACAGGCGTACGCACTAACTTACGACAACTCCTGCGCAGGTTTTTATAAATGAGGCCCCTGGTCCGTGTGAAGACACCCTGAACTCTAATGTAATAACTGACTCACAGTGGCACCACACCGACCATCTCCAACAGGGGGCGCTAAAACTCTGTATACATTTTTTTTTTTTTTTTTTTGCTTTTTGCAACTGGAGGCCAATTTCTGCATCTTTACTGACTTACTAAAGGTAGTCTCTGTTTCCAGAGTAGATAAAATGACTAGACGTGCTCTTGATCACTGAGTGTGTCAGACTCTCTCCTACACTGAGAAAATAGAAAGTAAAAGTTGAATGAGATGGGCTCAACCTGCTCAGCGCACCAGCCTACTGCCACTAGACCATAAACAGTCCATAAAGGCCCATGACACATGTTTATAAATAAAAACAGCACATTTATCAGAGTAGTTTATTAGACCTGAAATAAGTGACTGTGATAAGAAAACAGTCTTTGTCTCAGAGCTGATATCATCTTAAAGTTTTATCACTCATGTTGAATCACGTGATTCAAAGCATGACTTTAAAAAAACAATTACACTGTAAGAGATGAATGAATCACTTCAGTCGAGTCCTTCAAAAACAAACAGAACATGGAACAAAGAAAACATGAGTGCTAGAAACAGATCTTCTGATGGGCTTTAAATCTAGTTTTTATATTACAGGAAGCAAAACTTAAAAAAATAAAATAAAATTGGGAAAAATGTCTTTATTAAAGAAATTGTATGTAGTGTTCATATAGTTGTTTTCTTGTTTTCAATCACAATCACAACTGAACCTGTGTCTCCAGAGCCTTGACCTGCAGACAGAGACACATCCAAGTGTGTCTCATTCTCAGTTTATGAACAGGCCTCATGTGAAGCTCAGAACCTCTAGAATTCTCTCCCTGAGCTGCAGAGGCTGCACTAGCACTGACTCAGGGCTGGTGCAGGTGCTGGAGTTTAGGGAGAGACCATCAGATCAGAGAAACATTTTAGATTTAAACAAATGGATTTCTGCATTGAAACTGGCAACACAAATGAGAGTCACGTGAGGCTCATTCTGTGCAAATAAAATCACACACACACACGCACGCACACACACACACACACACACACGCACGCACACGCACACAGCGCCTTTAACTTGTTAAACTAAACAGAACAGATTTGAGGTCATTTTCCAGGTGTTCCTTACAGGTGCGTGACGTCACCACGGTCCTCCTTCAGGATCCCTCCTACGTTGTCCCAGCGCCTCTCAACCAGGAAGTCCCTCCTCCCCTGCGAGCCCATTGGCTCTCCCCGCCTCCAGCGCGCCCCCGCCGGCCTGTGATTGGACACTCGGGCCGGACCTTTGGTTTGTGGCTGCGGCGTCAGGTGAAACTCGTCCCGTGAGAGGAGGAGAGACACGGACAGGGAATCCACACACTTTGCTGGAACTTTCGGGATATTTTTCAATTATTTATGAATTAGTTTGACCAAAGGGGACTGCTCAGAAGTGGAACAAACACCGTGCGCCATGAAGAGCCTCAAGTACCGTTTGAAAAAGCACGAAGTTAACATCACAGTAAGTTGTGGCGCTTTGTTTTGTTTCTTTGCTACGGCTCTGAACCACGCCAACCTGTTACTCACGGTGCTACTTGTATTGCTGTACTGGCTCGTTTTGGCCCATGTAATCCGCACATTCTTAACTTTGTCTCGGCTACATCCTTGTCCTGTCCGCGCTGAGGAGCCCGCAGCTCGTGTTGTCCCGCTTCCCTCCCCAGGACCGCTCTGGCACCTGCGCCTGGACCCTTCTTATGGCCCGTTCTCCTGGCTGCTTTTGCGCGCAGCTTTGTTGCACGTTTTCCGTGTTTTTGCGCCAAAAGGTGAGGCAGCTGACCGCGGTGTTGTTGTGCACAGCCTATGTTCCCATGGACGCCACACACAGAGCTATTCACCTCTTTGTTACGCGTCCGAATGAGCGCAGTTTGAAGCGTGGCCTAGTCCGCGCTGTGATGGGACAGTGGAGCAGTGGAGCAGTGGGGCAGGGCGCTTGTGTACTCTACATGCTGCTCTAGACTGGTGTTTAAGGACGAAATGAAAGAGTAAGTTCACTCGGGTGCTCGTTATAGGCCGCTGCTCGCAGGTGGAGTTTGATTTGAGCAACAAATAAACATTTTTCAAACATTTGTTTGAAACTTTAGACCAGAGGTGGAAGAGTAACCAGCAATTGTACTCAAGAGTAATGTTACATCAAAGAAGAGTCAAACTATATATTTGTGAAAACTACTGTAGTAAGAGTAACTTAAAGAGTAACTTGTTTGGACAAACGTGATTTATAATATGGACTTAATGACATTTGAGTCATCTGAAGGAACACTGCAAGAAACACAAATGTTCAAGTCAAGAGTCACCACAACTTCACACAGTCACAGTACTGTTACTTCAATAAAAACAAATATTACTCAAGTAGGAGTAAAGTGGTAGATGGTGAAAAGTACTCTGAAAAGGAAACATTTCTTTAAAAAGTGACTCACACAAATGTAACTGAGGACAAACCAACTCTAGTGCATCACCAAACTGTTACACTAAAAGTTAGACAACTCAAGTATTGAATATACAACATTATACAACTCAAGTATTCAGCACACAACAGTATACAACTCAAGTATTGGGTATACAACTGTAGTATTGGGTATACAACTGTAGTATTGGGTATACAACTCAAGTATTGGGTATACAACTGTAGTATTGGGTATACAACTGTAGTATTGGGTATACAACTGTAGTATTGGGTATACAACTCAAGTATTGGGTATACAACTCAAGTATTGGGTATACAACTGTAGTATTGGGTATACAACAGCTACTCTGATTGAACCAGGGAATGTAATATGTTACAAAATATATGTTAATAGAGATATGCAGTAGTCTGTAACTAAATACTTTGTTCAAGTATTCTTCCCAGCTTGTTGGCGGGCTGTGGTGGGTCCGGCGCGGTTGCACGGTGTTATGGGAATCCTGGAGTGTCCCGTTACCTGGGAAACACAGCACAGTATTTTTATGGCCCTTTCTCAGATGAGACGAGTGAAGAAACAGGTCGGCTTTTAAAACACTGATGTTGTAGTGTGCTGAGGAGTTTTCAATGAGGAGATGAGACCTTCAGTCTGTGGTTTATGTTCTGACAGACCTTTGACACCTCCTGAACTCTGACTCACCTCACTGTTATCAGAGCTCCACACTGATCCAGGCTCAAATGTAATCAAATCATTTTCAAAGAATCCCACTCTCTTCACCTCATATTTCTGTTGTGTCGTTGGGCTCAACACTTGCCATGCTTGTGTGTGCATGTGTGTGTGAGGGAGGTCGGAGTCAGACACACCAGGCCTGTGATGGGGGCAGGTCAGGGCAGCTGTGGCTACAGTGTTGTGTGGGTTTTGTGTGTTGTTGCAGTTGCCTCAGAGGTCTGTCGGGCTGTAGGGCTTTGTCAACCACAGTGTGTATTAGTGAGTTGACTCATCTTTTTTATTTAGATTATGAGGATTTATATGGGACAATAGAAAGCAGAATTGAGAAAGTGAGTCAGCTGAAGATGTGGTATGTGACGTCATCCACGGCGTTCGGCTCCAGCCAAATAAAGCCAGTTGAAGTTAGTTCTTATTTCGGCTAATTTAGAGATCCATATTTGGAAATCCAAGTGTGTGTATCATAGCAACCAAAGAGCTAATAAACTGACCAACCAACCGTCCAACCAACCAACCTTAAGGACCACTTTAAAGTCAGACTGACGAGCCTGACAGGAGAGGGACCACCAGTTTTTAGTAGAAAGGGAATGGAGCCATTCCATGAATTATTATTAATTACATTAATTATTATTGCTAATATTAAGACTTCAACATTGCGGAGACTCACCAGCTAATGTCCATAACACAGCTGTTTTAAGTCCAAAAAGCACATTTAAAACACTAGATTCTGCAAAAGGTTTGAGCGGTTTATAGCATTTTAGAAACAGATTTGAAGTAAAGTAAAATAATAAACATCATGTGATCGTTAGTTACCACAGAGCTGATTATGCCTGAGCCAACTTTTCAACTTTGAATAGCCATTTTTAATTTTAATTTTTTAAAAGTTTATAAGAAAAAAAGAATGGGAACTGTACTTTGATGGTGACTCTCACTGCCTGGAAACTGACATGTCTGCATTTTTTTTTTTTACATTGCAGTCAGATTTGTTTTTTCACTGACATATTGAATGAAGGAGCTCTTTGGTCACCTGTGATTTACAAATAGAGAGTGTGTGTGTGTGTGTGTGTGTGTGTGTGCGTAAATCATGTGGTTGTGATTGTTTTTAGAGGCATGAGGTTAAAGAGCACAAGTACAGCATTCATTCACTATCACAGTGATACAGACACATTTTTATTTATTTATTTTTTTTACTATCCCAAGTAGAATATTTGGATGATTTTGTTATAATGCAACATTTCCTTTGTTTTTTCTTTTTAAAGGGCCCATATGTTTTAATGTTCTAATGTCGGAAACGGCATCAGAAACAGACCTGGAGTTGTGTTTAGTTTCTTTTGACACACAGAGGATGCATGTTGTGAAAAGCTTTTGTTTGGTACAAATAAACAAACTGTAAAATCTGCAAATGTCGGATATAAAATGGTACAGTAGAATCAGCTGTGTGCAGCGGCTCGGGCCTGTGCCCCAGTACTATTGAGCAGAGCAGATGCATGCTGGGAGTCTGTCTGCGCTCACTGGGATTAGCATGAGAAAGAGCAGTGGAGCTACAGAGCAGAGGGAGGCCTAAAGGGGAGCGTGGATCTAACACTGGGGACATTATCGCCTCATTTCAATAGGACTGGTACGGGACGGAATGGCCCCAGTGTTTCCACTACATAAAGTGATCCATACTCCCCCTTTTAGGGATCCAAAGTTGGTCGCTGGATGTATGACCTTCCAAAGTGGTCTGGAAGGGTTGGACCTATCTTGCTGATATGGGCTGATAGTCCACGTGGGCATGTTATACCTCGTTAAAAAGCTCAGACTCTCTATTATGTCCCTTTAATCCAATTTACAGACAGATAAATGTCCTCGTATCATCAGTGTTCATCAGACGAGTCATTTGTCTGTGTCTGTGATGCTTTACTGGCCACAGAGTCATGTCACATAACATGCTGAGGCCCTCTTAAGTCTGATCCACCATACTGACTATGTAAAAGTGAACTTCAGTGCAGTTTTAGGCCAGGAAAAAAAAAAAAAAAAGCTACTGCTGTTTTTATCAAAGTGCGAGTGCGGAGACAACAGGGCTGTCCTGCAGGCGGAGTGGCGGACACTGTGTGTGTGTGTGTGCGTGTGTGTAAACATGCAGTCAAATGAGAGTGTGTAAAGTTTTGCATAATCCTCCTCCATCCAGGTCCCGCGCAGTAAAAGAGTAAAGTCATTTATCAAAACAAGAGCATGTGCTCCACAGTGATGTCTCTGCTTGTATGGAGAAAAGAAGAAGTGAAACTTCAGTGAGCGTGTCAGTCCACGTGAGGATCATCTGTGTGCTCTGGCCTCATTTGTTTGGAGTTCTGTTTGCACATGGATCAGTGCTGATGCTCCTTTAGTTTAGCACAGGTCTTTTGACAGCTGTCCAGCGGCTCGCGTCACAGGCCTATGTCACGTCGTTGGGTGTGTCTTACAGACCTGTGGGACGCCCAAAGCGGCCTGTGCCGGGTGGAGGTGGCCCCTCCTATCTGTTCTGTGCCAAGGCGGCCCCAGGCGAGCCGTGCCAGTGGAAACCAGGCTTATAGAATCGTACTATAACTGTGATTTCAAAATCTCTTACAGGATTTTGAACGGTGAACTTCTGTCTAATCAAAGCTTCAGATTTTTCCTCTCATCTCTCAGACTTTATGAACTCTATTTTTGAAAATAGGCCTATTTTTTTTATTTCTTTATTTTTGAATGACCTGTTTTTTTTCCATATATTTGAGCAAAACCTGTCTTGCCCTTTTGTGGAAATAGTGCATCATCAGCTCTTGAGACATAACATAAATCCACTGGTCATTGTCTGCATCTTTATATAAAACCTTGTATTATCTGAGAGGTGCCTGTTAGCATGCTAGTTGTTATTACCATGATTTTGTTGTGGCTTGTGTTGTGACGAGTGTTTAGGATGCTCAGATTGTAGCATAAGGTGAGTAGGGAAATATTAGAGCCACTGAAAACTGTTTCAAATAAATAGTTCAGTTTCACATTTTAAAACCGTAAAGATCAATACAAAGTGAATCAAATCAAAAGTGTAACACAAAAGGATTTGTGACAAAGTAAATGCTCTGTGCCTTATTTCCAGAGTCAGTACAGGGGCTAATTTGGAGCTAAAATCCATATTTGGAATTTTGAGCATGTGTGTCACAGCAACCAAAGAGCCATTCAGGAGCCAGAGTGTTCAAGGTAACGCCTCTTCCCTTAGCAACGCTGTCAATCAAACCTGTTGCTAACGCTGGCAGCAGAGACCTGAGGGAAAGAGAGCGGCTGATTGGTCTGTTCATGTTCTTAATTTATGGATAAAATGGCAAAATAAGAAGCCAGGATCATA